AGATATCTGTAACAATATCCATTGTATTGTGGCGGTTACCTTGGTTACCACAGTTACCTCAGTTACCTAGTTACCAGCCACTGTTACCTATATATAACTAAAACACATCTGTAACAATATCCATTGTATTGTGGCGGTTACCTTGGTTACCACAGTTACCTAGTTACCAGCCACTGTTACCATTTTAGCTGATAGACATCTGTAACAATATCCATTGTATTGTGACGGTTACCTTGGTTACCACAGTTACCACAGTTACCAAGTTACCAGCCACTGTTACCTATATATAACTGAAACACATCTGTAACAATATCCATTGTATTGTGATGGTTACCTTGGTTACCACAGTTACCTAGTTACCAGCCACTGTTACCTATGTATAACTGAAACACATCTGTAACAATATCCATTGTATTGTGGCGGTTACCTTGGTTACCACAGTTACCTAGTTACCAGCCACTGTTACCTATGTATAACTGAAACACATCTGTAACAATATCCATTGTATTGTGGCGGTTACCTTGGTTACCACAGTTACCTCAGTTACCTAGTTACCAGCCACTGTTACCTATATATAACTAAAAGATATCTGTAACAATATCCATTGTATTGTGGCGGTTACCTTGGTTACCACAGTTACCTAGTTACCAGCCATTGTTACCATTTTAGCTGATAGATATCTGTAACAATATCCATTGTATTGTGGCGGTTACCTTGGTTACCACAGTTACCACAGTTACCAAATTACCAGCCACTGTTACCTATATATAACTGAAACACATCTGTAACAATATCCATTGTATTGTGACGGTTACCTTGGTTACCACAGTTACCTAGTTACCAGCCACTGTTACCTATGTATAACTGAAACACATCTGTAACAATATCCATTGTATTGTGGCGGTTACCTTGGTTACCACAGTTACCTAGTTACCAGCCACTGTTACCATTTTAGCTGATAGACATCTGTAACAATATCCATTGTATTGTGACGGTTACCTTGGTTACCACAGTTACCTAGTTACCAGCCACTGTTACCTATGTATAACTGAAACACATCTGTAACAATATCCATTGTATTGTGGCGGTTACCTTGGTTACCACAGTTACCTAGTTACCAGCCACTGTTACCATTTTAGCTGATAGACATCTGTAACAATATCCATTGTATTGTGACGGTTACCTTGGTTACCACAGTTACCTAGTTACCAGCCACTGTTACCTATGTATAACTGAAACACATCTGTAACAATATCCATTGTATTGTGGCGGTTACCTTGGTTACCACAGTTACCTAGTTACCAGCCACTGTTACCATTTTAGCTGATAGACATCTGTAACAATATCCATTGTATTGTGACGGTTACCTTGGTTACCACAGTTACCACAGTTACCAAGTTACCAGCCACTGTTACCTATATATAACTGAAACACATCTGTAACAATATCCATTGTATTGTGACGGTTACCTTGGTTACCACAGTTACCTAGTTACCAGCCACTGTTACCTATGTATAACTGAAACACATCTGTAACAATATCCATTGTATTGTGGCGGTTACCTTGGTTACCACAGTTACCTAGTTACCAGCCACTGTTACCATTTTAGCTGATAGACATCTGTAACAATATCCATTGTATTGTGACGGTTACCTTGGTTACCACAGCTACCACAGTTACCTAGTTACCAGCCACTGTTACCTATATATAACTGAAACACATCTGTAACAATATCCATTGTATTGTGGCGGTTACCATGGGCGGTTGCAGAAATTTGGTTTGACCTGGGCATCAATAATTAGTGGGTGTGGAGTGGGTGTGGTTCCATACAATTTTGCAAGGAAAATGGAAAATACTGATCTATAACTTCATTCAGATGGTTTCTTAGCATAAAACCTCAAAGAAGCCTGTTGAACTACCACAGTTTATACTGGATGCCCACACCAGAATCATGAATATAATTATTGGTCAAAAAGTCAACCTGGGCATTGCCCCCTAATGCCCAGGTCTGCAACCGCCTATGGCGGTTACCTTGGTTACCACAGTTACCTAGTTACCAGCCACTGTTACCTATGTATAACTGAAACACATCTGTAACAATATCCATTGTATTGTGGCGGTTACCTTGGTTACCACAGTTACCTCAGTTACCTAGTTACCAGCCACTGTTACCTATATATAACTAAAAGATATCTGTAACAATATCCATTGTATTGTGACGGTTACCTTGGTTACCACAGTTACCTAGTTACCAGCCATTGTTACCATTTTAGCTGATAGATATCTGTAACAATATCCATTGTATTGTGGCGGTTACCTTGGTTACCACAGTTACCTCAGTTACCTAGTTACCAGCCACTGTTACCTATATATAACTAAAAGATATCTGTAACAATATCCATTGTATTGTGGCGGTTACCTTGGTTACCACAGTTACCTAGTTACCAGCCACTGTTACCATTTTAGCTGATAGACATCTGTAACAATATCCATTGTATTGTGACGGTTACCTTGGTTACCACAGTTACCACAGTTACCAAGTTACCAGCCACTGTTACCTATATATAACTGAAACACATCTGTAACAATATCCATTGTATTGTGATGGTTACCTTGGTTACCACAGTTACCTAGTTACCAGCCACTGTTACCTATGTATAACTGAAACACATCTGTAACAATATCCATTGTATTGTGGCGGTTACCTTGGTTACCACAGTTACCTCAGTTACCTAGTTACCAGCCACTGTTACCTATATATAACTAAAAGATATCTGTAACAATATCCATTGTATTGTGGCGGTTACCTTGGTTACCACAGTTACCTAGTTACCAGCCATTGTTACCATTTTAGCTGATAGATATCTGTAACAATATCCATTGTATTGTGGCGGTTACCTTGGTTACCACAGTTACCACAGTTACCAAGTTACCAGCCACTGTTACCTATATATAACTGAAACACATCTGTAACAATATCCATTGTATTGTGGCGGTTACCTTGGTTACACAGTTACCTCAGTTACCTAGTTACCAGCCACTGTTACCTATGTATAACTGAAACACATCTGTAACAATATCCATTGTATTGTGACGGTTACCTTGGTTACCACAGTTACCACAGTTACCAAGTTACCAGCCACTGTTACCTATATATAACTAAAAGATATCTGTAACAATATCCATTGTATTGTGGCGGTTACCTTGGTTACCACAGTTACCTCAGTTACCTAGTTACCAGCCACTGTTACCTATGTATAACTGAAACACATCTGTAACAATATCCATTGTATTGTGGCGGTTACCTTGGTTACCACAGTTACCTAGTTACCAGCCACTGTTACCATTTTAGCTGATAGACATCTGTAACAATATCCATTGTATTGTGACGGTTACCTTGGTTACCACAGTTACCACAGTTACCAAGTTACCAGCCACTGTTACCTATATATAACTGAAACACATCTGTAACAATATCCATTGTATTGTGACGGTTACCTTGGTTACCACAGTTACCTAGTTACCAGCCACTGTTACCTATGTATAACTGAAACACATCTGTAACAATATCCATTGTATTGTGGCGGTTACCTTGGTTACCACAGTTACCTAGTTACCAGCCACTGTTACCATTTTAGCTGATAGACATCTGTAACAATATCCATTGTATTGTGACGGTTACCTTGGTTACCACAGTTACCACAGTTACCAAGTTACCAGCCACTGTTACCTATATATAACTGAAACACATCTGTAACAATATCCATTGTATTGTGATGGTTACCTTGGTTACCACAGTTACCTAGTTACCAGCCACTGTTACCTATGTATAACTGAAACACATCTGTAACAATATCCATTGTATTGTGGCGG